CAACAACAACGCCAAAACCAACACCAAAACCCGAAGCCCATCAAGAACGTCCACCAGGACGTCCAAGACCTCGTCAACGAAGCACACGGCATACAAGACCTCCTGCGGAATAAGCCAATCCAATCCCTCGAGATGAATGCGATCGTCCAAACCCTCTACGACTTTGCAGGACGCGTCCTGTTCGGCCTCTCGGATACCGCGAACGACCTACGGCAGACACCATGGAAAAAGCTGATAAAGATGATGGAGGACACGAAAAAGGAGGTACACGCGTTGTCAACGCACGGGAAGACGTATGCCGCAGCAGCAGCAGGCACAACACTATTAGCCATGCTAAGCGGCATGGCTGCGCAATACGGGAAGGCAGCAGGAAATAGACAGTATGCAAGGCAACCTACAAATGTCCATGAAATCACCATCTATATTAAGGATAACAACAAGCGAACTATAACCGCAGCAGATACAAACATAACTATCACCCAGAAGCTTTAAGCAGCCGGACCACTAGACACAATAAAGATCAGCGGCATAAGGAAGCTATAGAGTAGAGATATTAAGGCATACGTCGCGGATAAGGCTATAAAGGAAGCACTGCTTAAGAAGAGGGAATAGGTGCAGGTGCTAGGCAAGACAGTATTGTTACAACCCGTAATACGAACCACCCGAGCGCAGCTGCACTCGCGGAGACAAGCAAGCAAATAAGACTGATTACGCAGAACCAGGTCACGGGACCAAGGGGGTCACGTGTAGGGCGCATAGGGATCCTGGATTCCCCCACAGACTGCTGGTGGATGGGAACAATCTAAGAATAGGACATCACGAGGACAGGGTCACGTGATGGCTCGTCAAGCTCGCAGAGGGAAGTAAGCATAGAGCCGAGCGAGCGCTCGTCGGGCTCGAGGCGCTCGAAGGCTACGAGCCCTAAGAGCGGAACGAGCAAACAGGTTTCTTAGGACGGAGCTTTTATATATAAGGACGCTCCTTTATATAGATAAAAACCTTATATTTAACTTAAAACTTTAATACTACCTATTAGAAGTAATAACCCCGTTTTATACCTAAAATTAATCTTACCTTACTTTTTAAAAACTATTATACCCTAATAATAACTTAATCTATACCCTGCCTTAGTATATAATACTTAGAAGGTATAGAAAAAATAACCTATTATACTTTAAATACTACTATATTAAAGAAGTTATATATAAACAATTAATTAAAATAGCCTTACTAACTTTTTTAGGTAGTATAACTGCTAGACTAACTTTAACTATACTTAAAGTAGTAATATATATACAGGTATTACTTATATAGCTATAAGTATTAGAAAAAGCTAGTAATACTAAAAATAAAAAAATTGCGGCCCTATAAGGAAATTTCTAGACTATTTAAAAAAAGCTTACTACTAGTAGAATAGTTAGCTATAAAGGCTATAAAATAAATAAACCTAAAGAATTTACTAGTAATAAAAAAGCTTTACAAGCGTTTATAATATAAATAAGGCTATACCTGCGTATAAACTAGAGCAACCTTAAATTTAAATTAAATAAGGTCTATATAGCAGCTACCTTTTTTTAAAAAAAAAGCGTTTAACTAGTTTAATCTAATACTTATAAACTAGCTTAGCAACGCTAATATAGATAATCGGAAACTAGAAACTAATACTATATTTAGTAACTATAAATACTTTAAGTTAGTACTTTAGATAACCTTTAGAAATACTAATAAAAAACGGATAGTAGAATAGAAAATTATAGTTCTAAAGTAGAAAGGCTTAACTAGCTACTATACTTTAGAATTTATATAAATCGCGTTTAAGCTATTATAGGAAGATAAAGCTCTATAAGTATAGTACTATAGAGGTTTTAAGGAAAATATTAAAAATAAAATTATATAAGGTAAAAGGCCTCTAATACTTTATAAACTTAAGGAAATAGTAATATAAATTAATAGTTAATAGTATAAACAATAACTAGAATAGGTAGATAAAAGGGGACTTTATTTCTACGCCTAACTAGCTAGACTAAAGCTAAAAGTAATTAACCGTAACTATAGAAATTATATAGAGATTAATATTATAAAATAATATAATAACTAGAAAGGTAAACTAATTACTAATAAAAAAAGGTAAAATAGAAAGCATAGCAGTATATACCTATTATACGGAAAATAGGAATACTTTGCGAGTAAGTACTCTAAGAACACCTAAATAGCAGCAGTTATAGTAAAGTTAAATATAAACCGCTATAATTCTATATTATAAACCGTATACTATAATAATAACTGCTTTACTTATTAGTTAAATAAGTAGGTAATAGGGTACTATTTAACTTAGAGTAGGGGAAGATATACTATTACTATAATAAGAAATAAAAAATATAATAGCAATTCTATAAACAACTACTATATAAACGTAGAAGTTAAAAGTATAGAAATTAACTACCTATTAAAAACGGATAAAGTATTCTAAATAATTAAGCCGCGATTAAAACCCTAAACTAGTATACTTAAGCTATAGAATAATAGTAAAACTAAATTACTAGATATAAAAGTATAGGTTAACAGGGTTATAGCTATATATAAATAGAGCGTAAAAGAAATTCTTACACGCCTTAATAAAAAATAAGAAGCGTAAAAGGCCGAAAATACTATAGCAGGCGCAGAGCTAAAAGCACTAGCTAGTTACTAATTCCTAAGAGCTATAGGTAAAGTTATAAAATAGCTTACTAAAGAAGAAAAAGTAAAAATAGCCGCAGCTGTAGAAATATTAATAATAGCAACTATTAACGCAGAAACCTGCGCAAGATTAGATATATTAAAAGGCTTAAGCTATAATATCTAGTAAAAACTAGATAATAAATTACCTATTAAAAATAGTAAAAAGTACTATAATAGTAATAAAGATTATAAACTAGAAAAATAGTCTAGTAATAGAAAATTTAGTATTAAACTAGAATAAAAACCGCTAAAGCTATATAGAAAATAAACTAAAATCGAGATCTATAGAGTATTATACTCTATTAGTAAAATAGGTATCTATAATAAAGAAAATAAACGGCTAAATAGAAACTACCTACTTTATAAATAGATATTTTAGGTATTATATATTAAAAATAAATATAATAAGTTATAATATATAAAAAAAAAATATAATATAATTAACCCTATAGTATTTTAGAAATACAACCTAAAAAGGGCCTTTAGGGGCTATTTAAGGCCCTATAAACAATTATACGCAGCCTTAAAGCCCTATAAGTAGTGCTAGCAGTATTATAGTAGGTATACCGCAAATTATAACCTCTAATATATAGCCGCCCTAGTAATAGTATTAATAATAATAATAATAATAATAATAACGCTAAAACTAATACTAAAACCTAAAGCCTATTAAAAACGTTTACTAAAACGTCTAAAACCTTATTAATAAAGTATATAGTATATAAAACCTTCTGCAGAATAAGCTAATCTAATTTCTTAAAATAAATATAATTATCTAAACCCTTTATAATTTTATAAAACGCGTTCTATTCGGCCTTTTAAATACCGTAAATAACCTATAGCAGATACTATAGAAAAAGCTAATAAAAATAATAGAAAACACGAAAAAGAAGGTATATATATTATTAACGCACAGGAAAATATATACTGTAGTAGTAGTAGCAGTAGCAGCAGCAGGTATAATACTATTAGCTATACTAAGCGGTATAGCTGCGTAATATAGAAAGGTAGCAGGAAATAGGCAGTATATAAGGCAACCTATAAATATCTATAAAATTACTATTTATATTAAAAATAATAATAAGCGAACTATAACTATAGTAGATATAAATATAACTATTATTTAAAAGCTTTAAGCAGCCGGACTACTAGATATAATAAAGATTAGCGGTATAAAAAAGCTATAGAGTAGAAATATTAAGGTATATATTGCGGATAAAGCTATAAAAAAAGCACTGCTTAAGAAAAAAAAAATAGGTGCAGGTGCTAGACAAAATAGTATTATTATAACCTGTAATATAAACCACCTAAGCGCAGCTATACTTATAAAAATAAATAAATAAATAAAACTAATTATATAAAACTAGGTTATAAAACTAAAAAGGTTATATATAGAGTATATAAAAATCCTAGATTCCCCTATAAACTACTAGTAGATAGAAATAATCTAAAAATAGGATATTATAAAAATAGGGTTATATAATAGCTTATTAAGCTCGTAGAAAAAAGTAAGTATAAAGCTAAGTAAGTGCTTATTAGGCTTAAGGCGCTTAAAGGCTATAAGCTCTAAAAGTAGAATAAGTAAACAGGTTTTTTAGAATAGAGCTTTTATATATAAAAACGCTTTTTTATATAAATAGAAACCTTATATTTAACTTAAAACTTTAATACTACTTATTAGAAGTAATAACCCTATTTTATACCTAAAATTAATCTTATTTTACCTTTTAAAAACTATTACACCCTAATAATAACTTAACTTATACCCTGCCTTAGTATATAATACTTAAAAGGTATAAAAAAAATAACCTATTATACTTTAAACACTGCTATATTAAAGGAGTTATATATAAATAATTAATTAAAATAGCCTTACTAACCCTTTTAGGCAGTATAACTACTAAACTAATTTTAACTATACTTAAAGTAGTAATATATATACAGGTATTACTTATATAGCTATAAGTATTAGAAAAAGCTAGTAATACTAAAAATAAAAAAATTGCGGCCCTATAAGGAAATTTCTAGACTATTTAAAAAAAGCTTACTACTAGTAGAATAGTTAGCTATAAAGGCTATAAAATAAATAAACCTAAAAAGTTTACTAGTAATAAAAAAGCTTTATAAGCGTTTATAATATAAATAAGGCTATACCTGCGTATAAACTAAAGCAACCTTAAATTTAAATTAGATAAAGTTTGTATAGCAGCTACCTTTTTAAAAAAAAAAAGCGTTTAACTAATTTAACCTAATACTTATAAACTAGCTTAGTAATACTAATATAGATAATTAGGAACTAGAAACTAATACTATATTTAGCAACTATAGATATTTTAAGTTAGTACTTTAAATAACCTTTAGAAATACTAATAAAAAACGGATAGTAGAATAGAAAATTATAGTTCTAAAATAAAAAAGCTTAACTAGCTACTATACTTTAGAATTTATATAAATCGCGTTTAAGCTATTATAGGAAAATAAAGCTCTATAAGTATAGTACTATAGAAGTCTTAAGGAAAATATTAAAAATAAAATTATATAAAGTAAAAGGCCTTTAATACTTTATAAACTTAAGGAAATAGTAATATAAATTAATAGTTAATAGTATAAATAATAACTAAAACGGGCAGATAAAAAAGGACTTTATTCCTACGCCTAACTAGCTAGACTAAAGCTAAAAGTAATTAACCGTAACTATAGAAATTATATAAAGATTAATATTATAAAATAATATAATAACTAGAAAAGTAAACTAATTACTAATAAAGAAAGGT